TTGCATTATGTTTGATAATAAAAATACTCAATAGATCCCTGAATAGATCATAATCCTTATAAAAATCAGATTAATTTCATGACGAAAGAAACTCCATTCATGATTATTATTCTTTTTATATACATGAATTGAAAAAGGCTTGTTTTTTAAGCAGGAAGTCACATAGAGAAGAGTTCATATTTTTTATTTTTATTCGCATTGTTCTATTGTATGAAAAAAAAAGTTATTGAGAGAAAAATATAGCTGAAAGGATTCTTTTCTATATGGAGGTATTATGGTGAAGTTTGAAGAATGGACTAGGAATGTCCTTTTTAGAATGAAATGTCTGCGGAAAAGATAAGTAATTTGTGGTAAATGCGAGTTGGAATCTCGAATTCCTTTTTATATATTAAAACATTATGTATACATAAGAGAATTAATTTCATTATTCTATAGTAAATCCATAATTGGATTTTTTTCTTCTTTCGGAATCAAGTTAAAAATTTCTTTTAAACTCCTTTCATCATTCAACTAGCACAGAAAAAGGTCTAAGATCTTTATGATGAAAAGGCAGCGAATCATTAAAGTCTTAAAAAAGGTTTTGTGAATGTTTTCATAATTTATTTTGTCATTTCATTATTGTTCTTATAATATTTTTGTTTAAATATTGAAGGTTACGAATGAAGAGGGAAACATAACAATTATTTATGTAGCTTACACTAATCTATTGTTTTAAGGCTTTAGAGGAAATTTCATATGTTCAATAATTCTGTTGATAATAGGCAAAGGTTTTTTATCGCATTTGTTTGTGTGTATGCTAAATGTATGTAAAGAATTTGTGTAGAACATCACATTTGTCTTATGTTCAATTATAAAGATTTATAGAAGAATTTAAGAAAATCCCAGGATGAGAAAACTTTCAAACAGATATAGAATGATGTTAAAAGCCTGAAGAAACAATTAAATTTGTCGTGTGAATGTGAAAATAAAGTAATAAAGGATTGCCATAAAATAATGCTGAATAAAGACAGAAAAAAGTTTCTAAACTTTTTTTTCTCCTAAATTGGTTCCATAATAACTCACAAACAACATTTTCTCATCATCCCAATTTAACAGCCTCAAGTTCTCCTATAAAGCTCTTTTTTTGTATAAAGCGATGAAATCATTCAAACAAATACTTTTTGTGAAGGATGAAGGCAAAATAATTTTTAAGGAAGTATAAATGAATTTTTTTTAGTTTCATCCCATCTCTATAGCGATACGTTATTATGCAATGAGTTCATTCACGGAAATTCATTTATACACATACAATATTTTGAGAATCTTTATGGAATTTCGACTGTGTAGATATTTCGATGATTTTTTTTTTCGTATCCTTGTTCTTGACTAAATAAGTTAGAGTTTGGAATGTGAAAGCGTTCATGAATGGGGTGAAATGTTTTCTACAAGAATGTTTATCACCAAATGTGATAATATTCTGCTGTAGTTGTCATCCGTTGGCGGAAATTTAAAAAGAAAAAGGAACTAGAACCTTCATGCATTAAAGGAACATTTGAAGCGAGTAAATTGAGTGTCAGATGATTGTATTTATTCCCTCAAGAAATTACATAGCGAAACGATGGAAAATAGATTGAATCTTTAATTTAATTAAATTCAAGTCAATTCACTTAATTACGTTAATAGATTGTTAATTAAAAGTTAATTAATTTTACAAGACACTGTGAGCCAAAATTATCTTTTTGATGTTGATAATCAAAAATTCTTCAACAAGAAATCATCAAAAAAAAAAGCACATTGTCATAGAATCAAAACTTATAATTTTATTTAAAAAACATCAAACTGAATTATTTTCTTTTTCTGACGACTTCTTTGCAGGAGAAAATGAAATTTCTTTGAAAAGTGAAACTTAGTTGAATATTGTAATGTCATTAAAACTCCTAAATTATTTTTCATCGCCAATAAGAATCTCGAGTTTCTTATGTTAATAGAAAATTTTTTGAGTACTTATTCAGAGGTAATTATCATTTATTTATTATTTATTTTGTCAATTTATTATTATGAAAGAAAAATGTTTCATCATATTAAATTTATTCTGTTAATTTAATTATGAATTTAAATACTTACATAGAGATTAAAATTTTAATATTTCTGTGACATTTACTTCTTCATACACCTTATTTTGCTGCTCTGTAAAATTTCTATTTTTATGAGCTGAAACATGAAAATAAAATGTCAATATATCCTTTTACTGCTCAGTTTTTATTAACGATAAGTAAATATTTGAATAAAGCCATTCTCTTTAAATGATAAGATTTTCTTTTCTTGTTTTTTATGCGCACACGTCTTTATATCTCTTTTAAATTCATTATTTACTTTGAAATTCATGCGAAATGTTTACATTCTTTATCCTTTTCCCGTAATTATAAACGTCACATAAGAATTAAGAACCAAAAGATAATGAAATAATATTAAGAATTTTATACAACTTTTCGAGCATAAATCATCTAATAACAGTTCTATAAGCTAAATACATTTAAATTCAATGTGATTAGATTTTTTTGGTTCGTTTGGAATCATAGAACATACATTTTATTTTTATTAAAAAATCATATTAATATTCAATTGAAAAAAATAAAATATTTCAAAAAAAATTTTTTTTGAATAAAATTCGTAATTAAAATTTACAAGCAAGTGAATGTCATGAAGTGATCATATATTCTCAAGCTTTATCTCTTCAAGTTATATTTTTAAATTTTCTCAAAGTAAAAAAAGAGACATTATAAAGAAAGGATTATGAATGCATTGTTTTTAAAACGTATCCTTAGGATATTTTCGAAAGCCAATCCAATCAGCTTTATTTTATGTAAAAACCATTCATCTTTGAAACATAAAAATAGTACCAAGTTGCATTATACGATGAAGCTAGAATGAAAACCTCATTGTATATTCTAAGCACAATAAGAACGATGAATGAGTAGAAACTGCAATTGTGCCATAAAGAAAATATAAAGAGGACTTAAAAAAGCACTGTATACAGACTAGCAGATGTTGTAAAGATAATAGTACAAAAACTAGTATGATGAATATATTACGAAGGAGTATGTCATCATGAAAAATAAAATTATTACAGGAAAAAATAGCATAATTGACTTTTGCACAGTTAATATTTAAAGATTTTCTCGTAGGTTTAACGGAAGTATTTGTATTTCATTTGTGCATACAAACTTCATCAGATTGTGTATATGTCTCTTGAGAGTTCACACTTTATGAAGCTACATTTACAGTAAATAAATCAAAATAAAAAAAAATTCTGCAATGTTGTTAAACTTACTTATTAAGGAACTCCTTTTACTGGATAAATATTTATGAATGGGAGCGGAATCCTTTTTAAATGGAGGTTTTAATACTTTGATAAAGTAAACTGCATAGCATCAAACAAAAATATGAATCTGAAAAATAATAAGGCAATGCAGTTTTTAATTAAACGCAAACATAAGTAGGGCAACATATACACTAAACACGTTTGTTATTCTAATTATTTCAGAGCTGTTGTAAATACACTCATAATGAGGAATGCAAATATATACTTTTCTGTATCGTCTATGATGATTATGAGATTTTACATTAAGTTGACATAAAATTAATTCCAGTGATGCTGAATGTAGCTTGGTTTAATAAACTTTTGATGTTACGAGCAATAAAATAAAAAAGAAGCGTAGTTTTCATATCCTTTATTTTATTTTTACTATTCATTGAGTTCGTGAAAGCCAAATAACTTATATTTATATTTTCCCGCAGAACCAATTGAATTAAATAGGTTTTTTTAATAAGTTGAATAAACAAACTTATAAATAAAAACGAGAAAACAACACATATTTCAAGGTTTCTAAGTCCTTAAAGACCATTATTTAATCAAATGAAAGTATCACCATCAGAATTTCATTAATTTATTTTGTTTACTAGCAAAAATTCTCAGTATTCCCAAAGCGAAACTCATAGAAATCAATTTGTAAAACTTTTTCTTTCGTTACTGTTTCTTTTAATGCTTCAAGATCTTTTTCAGTTTCGTAATTTTTGTCGAAAAAAGTCTATACGACACCTCAATTAATCATCATTCATTTGTCTCTTTGTACAATAAGTTTCACTTATTGTTCTTTTCTCCTGCTGTTAAATAAAGTTCAATTAAGTCAAGTGCAAAAGTTTGTTCAAAAGATGATGATTTTACGTATGAGAGATAGAAATAATAAAAATTTATTTCCCAAACTTCTGCGATACTTTACAAATTCATTATATATATAATGGAATGTAATATAATTCACAGAGTTTTATGCCATATTAAAACCTATAAAATTCTTTTATTTAAAAAAATTCATTGAAACTTTTTCAACAGCACCATGTTTTAAATAATTACATATGTAAAGTTGTAAACACATATTTGATTATCCAGAGTTATATCAAAACAATATGCAAACAAAAATATTCACACAATTTATTTTTCAAGAATGTGCCATTCAATTTAAAGATACTAAAAAGTCTAATATTGTCATAAAATATTTCGAGTATTGAAATTGGATAAAAGCATATTAAGGTCTTTATTTGATTGTCATATATGGTATCCGAATATATTCAATCATCAACTTGTTGCTCCATTAGAACACTGACATTTTAAAGGTTCATATATAGACAATCGATAAAGCTGTTAGAAAGTATAGGCACAGACAACTTTTTTTCCCCAGAAAAGTTTTATACCCTAGTGATTAAAACGTGTAAAAGTTTTAATCTAGGTGTATTTTGGTGCGTGAATGATGGAAAATTCAGCATTTAATTTTTACCTTTAGGTAACAAAAGAAATTTTCTTTAATATTGTATTAATCTTGTTAGTGATATTTCGATAAAAAAAAAAGATGCACAAAATTAACTAAAGGGAAAGTAACCTGAAATACAGCATACATGCAAATATGAAAAATTAATCAAAAATAAACAACTGAAACAGCAGTTAAAATTAAAACTCACTCGTAAATATGCTAACGTGTGTTTGTCGTCCTGTATCGAGTTCTTTCATTGACAATCAATCAATGATGGGTGCACCAATTGAGCATGACCAAACAGTAGTTACACAAGAACCAAAAACGAAAATTGGAACAGCAAAACCAATAATTAATCAAAATTTCAAGGTAGTTTTTAATTTTTCGTATTGATTGCTAAATTCATATCCATAAAATTTCATCCTTATTGTTTTCTTTTATATTTCATGTTTTTTTTTTTAATTTCAAGTACATGTGTTCTAATTTACATCTTCTTTAATGATGAGAATTTTTCCAATCTGAAAAAAGAACATTCTCATTAGTATATTCGTACATGGTTTTTGTACTTTCAATTAAGGATATACAGAATTAATCACATAGGAAAAAGTAATCAGTTACATAATGTACGAATTCATGCTGAGAATAATTAAAGTTTGTGTGGTCTACGATAGGTGATTTTCAGAAACTTTTGTACTTCCGAAAGTTCTAAACTAACATTCTATTTCCATTCCAAAAATGGAAGAGAAGTTGTACAAATAAACAAGGGGTTAAATGAAATTTTAATATTTATTTGTGGAACCATAATAAAATGGAATATTTGCCTTGCTTAGCTGCTATTTTTTTAACACTTCGTATTCAATGTTTCGAAAATGAAGCTCCTTTGCATAGGTGTTAAATTATTAATTCTTTGAAACGACATCGTCCAAATTAAATTGTTCCTGGCACATTTACATGAGAATCATATTTTTGGTTAGAACAGTAAAGCTATTTTAAAGATATCGATATCAAATTTAATATTGAATTAGAAATACTTCAAACGCAATAATATACATAGCGATGTCATAAATGCTTTATTACGTATGTTATGTCGACATCAATATTTTACAGATACAACATCGAGATGTATCGTTTGATGAAAATATATAAAAATGTGAGACGGAGTATGATGGAATATCGTTCTTATTATGAGTACATAAAAGTTATATAAATCTTAATTGAATTTTCCGAAATACCCCAAAGTTACTTTTTCACTAATGATAACTTTCGAAAATTCAATTCATCAAACTTTTCCTTTTCTTTAATAAGTCAATTGACTACAGATTTACATAATAAAAAACGAGACTTAAAAGTTTTAGCCTATCAATCTTATGGTAATTTCAGAATCGAAAATGTTTTGCAAAAAATTAAATTTTAAAATAATACATAAGCATGAAAAATGCAGTCAATGATTTGTGATACAAAAAAAATACACATGCTATTCTTAAAAACCTTCGCTTAAAACTCCAACAAGATTCTCCAAATCGAAACGATCCATTGATGCTCAATAAATCTCTGTCACATTATATTTCTGAATGAATCGATAGTAAATATCGATTGCATGCTCCTGATAATAACTACCAATGTTGACATATATTGTTGGTGATATTAAAAATAAATATATCCGCTGAAATTTTACATTAAAGAAGTGAAAAACCGTATAAAAAGTCTCATCGCATTTAGTTGCCGTTATTACTGAATTATCGATGTCACATAAAATGATTCGTTACAAAAATATAGAGTAAATAACACAACTTCTCGTCAATAAATCGTCAACACCATGTGTGAATGCTTCCAACAGATTGGATCGAGAGAATAATAAGATATGAGTAGCAAATGCTATGTACAGTGCTTTAAGCTTTCTTTCTTTCTTTCTTTTATTATATTATTTGTTATGGTTCATCCATATAGTTACAGTAAAATAGCTTTAAACTTTTTATTGTAAGCTGAAACACATATTTTGTCCTTGATTTTTTTTTTATTTTTCTCGCAAAATTTCCATTTTATTATTGACGCAGGCATCGCATAGTTGTGCTATCTTATCGATTTGTCGTCTTGAAACATTTTTTTTATTAAAATTGAATTTTGTAAGACATTATGTTGATTTTTTTATGCTCTAATTTTTCAGGTGCCTGGTAGGCCAAGTGCTGCCGAATTGAGGGCAATGGCTTTAAGACAGCAGCAGCAAATTGATTCGCAACATCAAGTATGCATACATATCATGTTTATAAATATTTTAAGCAAAATGTACACTACATATGATAATTTTAACTTCCTTTTTTCTTGTCTAGTTGTTAGCTGCAAAAGAACAAAGATTACGTTTTTTAAAAGCACAAGAGGCTCGTGGAGCTGCTGCGGCGGCAGAAGGCGAAAGACTCCGTAGATTACGTGAACGCGTTGAAGCACAAGAATCAAAACTTCGGCGACTCAGGGCGTTGAGAGGACAAGTGGATCTTCAAAAGACTTATAATGTGACATTGAGTAAGTTCATTTATTTATTTAAATATCTTCTCTTCTCGAGATAATTTGCGAACATTTTCACTCCAAGCATATACATCTTCGTCTAGATTTCAATTACTAAGCTTGATGATTTTCATCTAAAATACTATATTCGTCCAGATATTTAATGTTAGAATAAATTCATTGTAATTTTATATCCATCATCATTAACAAAGAACATTCTTTTGAAATTTATTTACTTTATTCTGTTTTTTCGTCTTTTTTAATTCGTAAATGATGACGAATCCCAAAGATGTAAATAAACACGATTCTTCTCTTGTATGTGTCTTTCATGACAGCCATCAATAGATAGAAGGAAGAAGAGATTTTTTTTTAAATATAGTTATTCACTTGTACATAATTGTCCTCCATTTGTTTTTTTTTAAATTCCACTGAATCAGAATTATTTAAAATAACTTTAATATGACCTTGAGTAGTCACAAGTTTAGTTGGTTAAATTTTTCATTCTTATATGCGTCAGATATAAATGTGTTCTGCGTATAATTATTCTATTTTACATTTGTATTGTAGAAGTTTTTGAAGTTTTATGTTCTTTGAATTGCGGTATTAAGACTTGAGTACTTTTGAAACCAATACATCATGTTTAAAATAAACTTAAACTATATTAATTAAATCACGGAATTCATTAATGAATTTTATTGATTTTCGCATCGATTGGAATCTTCTTGTGGTTTTTATAAAATTCATATCATTAAATGTTAATATTTGCAATAATTTTCTTTTGTCAAAAAGTCATGACACTTACTTCATATGTTCTGCCAAAGTAAATAAACAACCTAACTATTTGAAGTAAAGTTAACCTTCATAGAAATAATAAAGTTAAAGAACAAAAACCTTACATTGTAATACACTTACAATGGCGATATAAATAACAAACAAACGTTGAAAATAAGTTAAACATTTTATGCACTGTAAAAGTAAAGAAAAAGTCTCATATTATAAAATGTAACCCACATCATCAGAAGCTGAAATTAGATTTCAAATTAATGAGTATATTATTACATGATAAAACATTTCTGTAGATGATGGATTGCGTGCTTGAGACTCAAGAATGATTTAATTATCGCGATGAATAAATAATCGTTTTAATTTTATGATTATCCATTAACAATGATGACGAAAACAAAGTTAATTATTTAGATATTAATTATAGCGTTTATCTAATCAAAATAACGATGTCTTCATACTCATAAATGACATCAGAGAGAAATATTTAATTAACTTTAATTTGTTTTTGCTTGATAAATCACGACAGATTTGAATACTTGAAAATTGAAACTTATTTCTTAAAAGGACGTACATATGCAAAATATGAAAATTTCATAAATCTTCAACAAAAGAAGAAGTAATACCTTTTGCTTTATTTGATGGAATAATAAATCCGTTCCCAGTAAAAATATCGAAATGGAAATTTCAAAGTAGTCATAAACTTTTTCCGCATTTTATTTCGATTGTGGTGTAAGTTAATGCACGATATTTTCATTGAAACTTTTCTCTTACAAGTAGGTACTTATCAAAATAAAATTTATTTTTTTAACATCATAAAAACACATTAAAATGTTCAAATATTTATTCACAAAGTTTTTTTTTTGTGAAACTCGTTTTGTTCTTAGTAAGAAATGCTTTCAAAGTAACTAATTTAATTTCCGGAAGTTTTATTATGTTATGTTTTCAAAGTTAAAATTATGATTTATTACAATAAGTAGTCGGCATCCATATTCTTACATTAATGTCGACTTAAAATTCTTTCTTTTACTTTCCTTTGCTCCATTTGTCATTTATTCAAAATGACTATTGAAAAATCCAGTCAGATTTTTAAAAAGCTATTAATAAAGATGCCCATCAGATTTGTTTTTAACTAGAAATTAAAATTGGCGCAAAATATTACGAGATTCAGTAGCTTGAATTCATCACGTTGCATTGTTGAAACTACAATTTTTTGCAAGCTATTAAAATGTGTGAAATCAAATGTTTAAATTCATACAATAGACGACATGAAGCATGAAAATTTTAATTTAATTGTCAGCAGTGAACATTGCATTTTCGCTTATGTAACAATTTTTGAAGAAGAGAAGCGAACTTTTAATAAAAAACGTGTTGTATTGATAATTTTTTAAACGTATCTCAGGGAGAAAACTGCTTGGATGGTAAAATTATGTGGAAAATTTCCCATCATAAAGTGGGAAAAATAGTAAAAAGAAAAAAAAGTATAATAAATAGAAAAATGGGAAATAAGAAAAACGTGGTAAAATGGTAAAAAAATGGCAAAAATGTTAAAAAATGGTAAAAATGGGAAAAATTGTAAAAAAGGAGAATTTTACCTTTTTTACCATTTTTGATGGAAAATTTCCCTTTTTTACCCATCAAGTAGTTTTCCCCCAGAAGTATCTTTTATATTTATTTTTGAGTCAAAAATTTTGAAGCTCGGAAATGAAACAGGTTTATAATACATGACCCCAAATATTTAAATTAAAGGTTTTATTTTGCTCATTCATAAAAATATTTTGATGCTTTTGCTTGACCTACACATTTTTTCGTATAAACCTTGTAGTATTGAATAATGACGGAGATTGATGAATGAATCTCATAATTTTTAAACTTTAAATTATCGTATAATTGCTCGATATCAATCAAATTTTATATTTTATTTCATGAGAAAATAAATTTAACGATCTCATTAATTTGTGCTATGGAAAGGATGATTCCTACCGACATTAAGGAAAAATTATGAAAATATTACTCAATTTTCCACTTTTATAGTATAATATAAAGTCTAGTAAGATTTTTGAAATAATCTTCATGTAATTTTGCTTCTGATAAAAAGTTGTAAATTTATGTAAATTGAACTTTAATAGTCTTATGTAGATAAATTTCTTGAAAATAATTAATTTAATACTTTCTTACATCAAAGTGTGAAGAAATCTAAAAAAAAGCTAAATATCGTATACAATGAACAAAAGAGACTTTCATTAAAAGCATTTGTACATCTAGAGAATTTAATATTAAATCATAAAACATCAAAATATTATTTATGAAGTGTGAGAAATGAAATTGACATATCAAAAAGAATTATAAAAAAAATTCTTTCAGGAAATCCTCACTTAATCTTGAATTGACAATGAATCATTCAAATCCCTCGATAATTTTTCATCGCATTATGGTTTATTAAATTTAAGCTCAGTATTTAAAATGGCGCATTTCATACATTCCTTGTTTAAAAATGTGTAATAGGCTCAGCATTTTCACCCTCGGAGTAAATATTTAGAAGCAAACGTATTCAGAAATGTCAATTTAATATAAATACCATTTTACATATACATAGCATTTTTAGTTCTTCCCGTAAGAATAGGGAACAAAAAAATTGAAGGAACAATCTCATAAGGAGAAGCAAATAAATGATTTCAATAAATAAAAGGTGAAAATGACTGAAATGTTTGACTGAGAGACGAGAAAAGGGATTTTTGATTCGTGATGGAAGAAAAGGTTGATGTCAGAAAAATGATTATAGGTCAAAGATTACGACACAATTGAATAAGAAGTAAGGAATAAAGGAAGAAGAAGAAACTTATCACAGACGATGAAAATATATATGTATTAGATAAATTCAATTATGACGGATATTTCATCTTAAAGAGATTATTTGTGAAAGAGTAAATAATGGATGAGGAAAGGATGAGATAAAATTCTGCAATTCTCTATCCTCATCTTATCACTGCTACATTAAATCTTTTTGTTTAATCACGTAATGACTTCCGATAGACTTTTTTTTATTTTGTTGTATTCTATTGATACATTGCCAGATACTCAACAGCTATCTTAAATGTGCTAGATAAAATCAATAGATGTGATAGACTACTTATTTGAAAAGTTGGTGATAGAATACCACACCAATAATAGCAACTTAGATCGTTTGATTCGGGCAACAAATAAATCTACTTGAACTACCATTACCAGTAATTTTCTGCTCATAGAAAGGTCATGAAAAGTTATTAAGTAAGAAAAAGAGAGCACAAGATAAAATGCTACAGCATTTAAAGAAAATGTGATTTTGTTGTTTTACATTACATTATATTATATTTTGAGCAAGGAATGGTTGTAATCGTTATCTACGTCAAGGGAGCTTTTTGAAGAAAAATACAAAACCTAATTTTATACGCAAACATTTTGAAATTTATGAATCCATGACTTACGTGCTTCTCAACAAAGGAAATCGAATAAAGTTTTCACACATAAAGTTTGAATGAAGAGAGAAAGCGCGAAAAAGGAAAAACGGGGCAATTTTCTTCACACAGCGTAAGGATGATGATGTCTATTGTTGATGATAAATGGCTCTCATAAAAGTTTTTTTTTTCATTCCTCTAAATTCATATTATTGTGCAAATTAAGTATTTTGAATAATTTATTCTCACTGTACTTGTTTATCATTTAAATTTATGATATCAAATTTCGTGAAATTGCTATTAAAATAAAATATTAGATTTTTGATTTTTATGAAATTCAATTAAATGTTCATTGTACATCTTCCAACAAAGTTTTTAAGAAAATAATGTGAAGATTTGTTTGAAAGTCGTTTCATTATTTATGAGAAAAATGCATTAAAAGTATGAAAAAATCTATTAACTATAATTTTCTGAACTGAAAGAATTTATTATGGACGTTTCCACATCTGCTGTGAAAACTTTCGCCCATTCCGATTCTATCAATTTAATTCAAAACTTACGAATAAAGGAGAATAAACAATAGAAAAAGTATGTTTCAGAGCAAATAGTCAGGAGAATCATTTTCGTTTGTCTAAATGCTTCATTATTAAAAAGTTTTGCACAAAAACGTCATGGCATTTTCTTTTGAAAAATTTACTTCAATTAAATTTCAGCAACTGAAATTATTATTACTTGATTAATATTAAATTTTAGTAATGGAGTTGTTAATAAATTCGATATTTAAAATTCGAATCTCGTAATTTTTTTTTTAAGCAAAATGCGTCTATTATTAATTTGGCCATTACTTTTGTTCCAAAGTTATGATCCAAAACTTTGCTTTTCTCTTTTCTTACTTCTACAGAAAGTTTCCTTGCGACTGTTCGTATAACAAAACGGGAACAAATAAATTTTATAAAGAAGGACAATTAAACTTTTGATTTCCCTCATTGTCTCGTTTTCTTTCTTTATTTTAATAAAACTAAAGTAAATCCCAAATCTTTTCGAAGCTGCGAACTTTTTCAATTGCTAAATTAAATAAGGGAAATTTGTCTTGTTTTTTCTTTTTTTTTTCTTTTTCCTTACAAAATAAACTTATCCGAAGTATTACTCAATAGAGTTGTTGAAATATGAAATAATAGTTTAACAGTAAACCTTTCAAGGAAGCTTTAAGGAATTAATAAAAAATCATTTAATCAACTTATTTTATTGTAATTTATGACTAAAAATCCGTTTGTGACATTTATGAGAAGTAATAAAATGGATGATAAATTGACGTTTTTACGAAACGCTTCATTAATATATACTGATAAGATATTTCAGAGGCTTCATCTTAAATGGTTATTAAAGATTGTTTTAAACATTAATGCAGTTATTTCATGATTAAACTTTAGGTTGTTTTTATGTTTACGTTTTGCGGTTTATCATGTGCAAAATCGAAAACTCCTACTTGTTTTTAAAACAAAAATTGATGTGAAGCATTCAAATGATTTTTAAAAGGTTGAAAAATACCCCAAATGAAAATAAACCTAAAGTTATCGTGGAAATATCTTTTAAAAAGTTTAAAAAATTAAAAAATCATCATTAGAATTTTTGAGAACTTTTTAAAATCTTTCCATGTTAATCTTTTTATGAATAAAATATTTATTCAAATCGTTAAGTGAAGTAGCAATAAAATTGCGTCATAGTCGAGGATTTATATTATGTTTGAGAATTTTTGTTCTAAAATTATTTGCCATTTAATGTCTCTCATTTCAAAAATCAAGATGCTTTATTTTTCAACTTTTTTACGTTTCAGGCAATGATTTGGACTCTATTCGCGCGCTTTTTAGTGAAAAAGAGAAAGAACTCAGCCTTGCAGTGGCAAAGGTAGAAGCTTTAACGAGGCAATTAGAAGAACTTCGAAGAGATCGTCGTGGTTTAAATATATTAGCAAATAATGGCAATAATCAGCCATCTTCACCTGCTACAAGAGAGCTGGAGAAGTTGCGCAGGGAACTTATGGTAAATTGCCTAATATCTCAATAAAACTCTTATCAAACTTTAGTTATATTAATTTTTTTTTATTTAAGTATCGAAACCAACTTTCATTGCAACAAGATGCTCGTCTCCATCTGCAACGTGAAGCATTACAACAACGACAAGCAGAATTGCGTTCTGTCGACCAACGAATATTAGAATTACAAGGTCGTTTGCAGCGTAAAAAAGCTGCAAACCTACTTCTCCAACAACAACAACAAAATGGCACACACGTATCAAGTTCTAACAACAATGTTCAATCAGCAAATATCCATGTCAGGTAAATTGAAATTTGTTTTCAAAATTGACTATAAATCTTTTTGCAATGCTCAAGGATTTCTTTTACAAATTTACCACATTTTTATTTTCGTTTCGTTAATTGTAATAATAAACATTTGTGTGTGGTGTAGTTACGTTTCCTTGACTATGCTCTATGAGCATAAACAATTTCCATCATATAGTATAAGGAAAATAAAATTATTTTGCTTTAAAAGTGTAATGATGATAAAATTTTCATAAAGAAAAAGGAATACTTTAGGATATCCAATATTGAATAAGCTCGATATTAAACTTCGCTATATCTCTAAAATGTGTTTTCGTTACTTTCGCATTTTTTTATTTAATTTCCTATTTTCCTTTTATGGTCTTTGGTAGAATTTATGTACACATTCTTTTGGTGTTTTCTTCCTTTCTTGAGCATCGCAAAATATCATAACAATATTTCACCGAAGCATACAATAAACGATTATTGCTATACCATTATACGCAATATTCCTTTCTTTACTTATGTATATTTTCTACTTCATTTGTTTCAACTCTCACGCTTTTTTGTGTATTAATGATATTATTAGATCTTCGTCGACTCACATTTATCCACCACAAAAGAATGTACGAGGAAATGTGGCAGCGGTTGAGCCATATAATCATACACCACAAAAATCCACATCTATAAGTACATCGAATCAACAACAACACCAACAAATTATTCAAGATCTGGCCATGCTAAAGCTTAAATCATCACAACAACAACAACATAGTCCAACATCAATCATGGCTGCCGAAAGTGATGAAACAAAGCTCGCACGCCAGAAGCAATTCAATGATCACATAACGCCACAGCAAACACAAGGATTGTTGACGAAAAATACAAGTAATAATAATGATGTACAGAACCATCAAGTTAAGGATACCATCATTATGGACAATGGTAATGAAAAGCAAACAAGTGCCCAATCTACTGATTTGAATGGAAAGAAAAACGAACTCACAAACCAAACGATGCCTTACAACAAATTTGTCGCCAATAATAGCTTGAATGTAGGTAATAGTAGTCTATTATCACATAAAATTATATCATCGGTGCTTTCGGCAAATAATGGAAGTAGTACAGCGTTAGCAATGAAATCAAACGAATGTGACAGTGAGAAGGCAGGTGAAATAACAGGATCTAATGAAATGTCAACAGGTCATGTAAACGGTACACAAATTGCAAATAGTACGCCATTGAATGCCATTAATAAGTCTGTTGCAGAGCCACTGAATGTAGCAACAACAACGGAAACAGAAGAAAAACCAGCCATAAAGCCAAAAGCTTTACACCAAATACCGTCGGGAAATCTTGTTGTTCCACCACGAAAACCAATCAGTAGTGTTGCACCAACATCGATAAAAAGTATTTCGCAAGCACCAAAAGTTCATATGGTTGCACCGAATATAAATGTTCAAGCATCGTCTATTGAAAATGATAAATCTCGACCTGCCTTACCTCCTAAGCCCAACAAAAATGGCAACAATAATAATATTAATAGTAATAATAATAATAGCAATAGCAGCAGTAGCAATCAACAGGTACTGTCAAATGAATCTGAAAATTCGAGTGTAAACAATGAAAATAATTTGCCTATCAAAGCGAAACCTTTAACAATAAAGAAGCAGCCATTATCGGAGCAACCAAAATTAAGATCCCTTACATCAAATTTAAAGGCCATTCAGTTTAGTACGTCGAGGAGAATTGAAATGCCGCCTTCATTTCTTTTTCCTGAAATTGCAACTACTGAGTTAAAGGATAATAGCAATAATGGCGATGTTAATGGCAATAGTATGAACCAAACATCAATCATTAGTAAATTAGTAAATGGAAACATAAATCTGAGTAATAATATCAACAACAACTACAACAATAACAATAGTCAGGATAGTGGAAGTATAACAAGTACCGATGAGACAGATAAATCTATAACACCCGTTTCTACACCTATACAATCAGATGAAAAGCATGTAGATAGTATAGTAAAACGAAAACGTAACATAATAGGTGATAATGTAAAAGCGAAACTTGCACGTCGAGTGAGTTTCGATCCACTTGCTTTATTGCTTGATGCCAGTCTCGAAGGAGAGTTAGAATTAGTGAGAAAAACTGCAATGCAGGTACCAAATCCTAGCGCAGCGAACGATGAAGGAATCACAGCTCTTCACAATGCTATTTGTGCTGGTCACTTGGAAATAGTAAAGTAATTATTATCTTCTCATTCTTCATTATAAAAGACAAATAAATAACATTTTTTTTCTGTTCGTTTCATTTTAAGGTTTTTAGTTCAGTTCGGTTGTGATGTTAATGCACAAGATTCTGATGGGTGGACACCACTACATTGTGCTGGTAATTATGAATACTTATTTATTTTTTTAACATTTAATAAATCGTGCCTCTTCCATATTATCTATTTTCTCAGCATCATGCAACAATTTGCCAATGGTTCGCTTTTTAGTAGAGTCTGGTGCATGCTTGTTTGCTTCTACCCTGTCCGATCACGAAACACCCGCAGAAAAATGTGAGGAAGATGAAGAAGGATTTGATGGATGCTCTGAATATCTATATAGTAAGTGCATTAGTGAGGATAAGATGGGGCTCTAAAAAAATCTCATTGTACATTTTACTTTTGTATAGGCATTCAAGAAAAATTGGGTATACTAAATAATGGAGAAGTTTATGCTGTTTTTTCATACGATGCTCAGCAGCAAGATGAGCTCAAATTTAGCGTAAACGATAAGTTGACGATATTAAGAAAAGGAGACGAGTCTGAAAGAGAGTGGTGGTGGGCCAGAAATATTGATGGACACGAAGGCTATGTCCCTAGAAACTTATTTGGGGTAATATTCAATTTTATGCATATAAATTTTTGATTGACATTTTTCAAGATAATTAAACTAACATGATACTTTTTCTCTCTTTTTTCATTTATTCAATAACTATACAGCTCTATCCTCGCATCGATCCATCAATGAACCAGAATTATAGTGAATAACGTTTAATACGAAAGTATATACGAAAGCGCATCAGAAAAGGATTGGTTACAACGTTTTATATTTCAAATTATTTATAGTTGATTCTTAATCCGCCACCTGCACACCTATTGTTTTATCAATGCATGGCCTGTTTAAAAAGAATGCGTATCAATGTGTCATTTGTTTTCATCACATGTTTATTATTTTGTTCGATTGTTAATTCTTTTCAATTTATTTCAAAATGAATTTACTTGTTTTTTTTTGACAATTAAAAAAAAAGGAATTAAATCCACTAAAAAGATTATACGGAGTAATAAAAGTTAAGTAAAATTGGATCTACTTATTCTACACTAAAAACAAATAAAGCATATTACGAAATTTGGATAGAACATTTTCTAGTGATGAAGAAAAAATATTTATATAGCATGGAGCATATACTTAATATTTATTTTTGGACCAAGATGGAGTAATCTTGCGAAAATAAAAGATTATTCTAAATTTTATTATACATATCTATTTCAAACAATCTTGAAATTAATTCTATCCTTTATACGATGTTCTACTTAATCTTATGAAAATATTTTCACAAATCCATAAATATTTTTTGTTGCTAATTTTTGTTGTTTTAAAATTAGATAAACAAAATCTCTTCATATGCCTCATCCTATCACCCATCCATTGAGAAAGAAAATATAATTTTTGAGATTATTTAATCGGTAACACAAATACTCACAAAATTGAATAAAATAAACGATTAAAAAGAAGAAAAATTAAATAAATTAAGCTACAACTTTTAAAAAACAGCCAGATCATTGTGGCTCCAGTTGTTTGTATTTTCGAGCACCTTTGAGTATTTTTATATTGCCATAATATCCCCCTCCAATACACTTGAACGCACAGATTTTCGTAGAAATAGATATAGAAAATTCGGTAAATGTTTATTTTAGTTCTCTTATGGCAACATTTTCAGATTAATGAAACACTGAAAAGATAAAGGAATCTTTAAGATAAACATTTACATCTTTTTCTTTCGCATTTTAACAAGTGAGAACCACCAGATTATCTTATATTTTTCTTTTCTTTTCATCACGTGTAAAATATCATTTGATGAAAACTATTGAAATAAAAATGAATAGAGACCCCAGCAATTAAAAGATTATATTAATGTCATGCACATGCTCACCTTGAAAAAACTCTTAAATTCTCTTTAATTTATTTGGAAGATACTTACATCAAATAGACATGAGAAAATATTTAAAGATTAGGACATTGAAACTGAATAAATGTAAAATAAAAAAGTTTAAATAAATAAAATGAATATATGCAGCATTAACATTAGTAATGATTCTTTAATATTTTTGGTTTTAAAACTTTAGTTCCAGGTTGAATATACCAGAAGTTCCGCTTAATATATGAACTGTTTTTATATTTACTTTCCTTTTGTAGTAATAGTTTAAATGCTCATTGCGCTAGTGACAATTTTGTTAAAAAAAATTATGAAAAGTGAGAAAGTATACCAGGTGCTCAAATATCAGTTGAAAAAGGAACTAAAGTCAACAAAAATTATATTGAATTTTCAAAATTCATACCCATCTTGCTCGAGTTTTACAGATAGCATTGGTGAAGAATGTAAATCCCAAAAAGATGAACTTATTTTGAGGTTCTTTACTTACTGTAACCATGTTCCTATGTGGAACTTAGGTTACAAAAAAAAGACTTCCATCTGTTGCTGGCTCTGTAAACTAGTTTGTACAATTTGTCTGTCCGCACATTAAGCTGACATTCTTTCATCACTGTTCTGCACCATGTAGCTTTTGGAGCTCCAGGGCGTCTTATCCCTTGTGGATTCCAACCAAGGGCGGTGTAAAAAACTTGTGTTTCTGTCCCAGCAATGACATTCTCTCTGGCATTTTTCTTACGAAGTATATATCCAATACATCCGTACTTTCTCATCTGAATCTCCTTGTTGATGTCTTGTTGACCTGCTTTTTCTAGAAGCTTTTCATTGGCCTTCAAATCTTCAGGAGTTCCAGTCAACCACATTTTGAGGTTCTTTAAGGTTCTTATATTTTTATGACCAATTTTTTTATCTCTTCATTTTTAAAATTTTTACTGCTTTTTATGAAAATTGCATGTGAATAAAATTGAACTACAGAGTTTTGAATGTAGCCATATGCATCATCAAATGGAGTGTAATTTCAGACCCACAACTTTAAGTAAAGAATAAAACTAAATTCAGTTACTTTAACACAGTATTTATGTCAAAGCATTAGCAGACTGCGTCGATTAAATTCATCAAGGGAAAAAGTTTCGGTTTCTAAAAATTTCGATTTCGTCGAAGTTGATGAGAAGTTCATACGGGAAAATATTATTCAAGTGAATAAAACATTTTACCTGATTTTTATGGTCTAGCAAACTCTTGATGATTGCAATTAAAGTCTTGAATATGTCGCATATTTAAATAGAAAAACATGTTTTAAAATTGTTTCAGTTTTGTGTTTATCGTAAAGCAGGAAAGTCAAGAGATAAGAAAATGTAAAGTCGACAATATGGTGATCTGGTACAAAATATTGATTGTGGTTGTGACAATAAATTTAGATTATTTTGTGGTAACATTACCAAATATAGTAATTGTCAACAACAAACCAATGACTTATAATCGAAAAGAAGATTTTGCTGAAATAATTACTGTTGTTGAGTCAGACATTCCTAAAAAAGTTGAAGACATTTATAAATCAGATAAACGAAAAAATAAACAAAATAATCAATTAAACACTTTTAATACCCAACAAAAATCTAATTTATTTAAAACAAGTGGTTTTATAACGAACAGCAACTTTAAAGGTGGACTTATAACAAAACATAATTTTACCTTGCATCTACCAGTCAATAATAATCAAATTATAACTTCCGATCGTTTTGACAATTCAAAATTTTCTAGCAATTTCTATAATTTACAAAATATAGAAAGCACCACAACGACTACTACAGAAACACCATTTATCTTACAACCAGAAATTGTATCAGCAATAATTTATAGTAATGATTTGATTTCCAGTTCAAATTCTTTAAATAAAACACCGAATGGCATTATTAAGCATGATTATCACAATAAAATTTCACCTGCTATTGAAAATAATCAACCGCATAAAGAAAATTCAGTCATTATTGTCCATACAACAGCGTCTCCACCAATTTTCGTAGCATCAGCAACAAGAGTCACCAAACCTACTAAAACAAAAAGAAAGAAAGACAATAGCTCAGCTACATTATCTACAGATTCAAGCAATATCCATGAACATTTTATTAAGAATTTAGATTATTATAGAAAAATTTTAAATTTAAACTGCTCAAATAATGCTAATGTAAAAAATCAAACCAAACAGCAATTGATAATAAGTGATAGTGAAAATGAAACTGTAGAAATTAAACCAAAACCCACCAATAAGGAAGATAAAGACAAAGACAAAGACAAAGACAAAGAAAAGGATAAAAAGAAGTGTAAATGCAAAAAAAAGCATGGACATCATCATCATGATCATCATGATCACGATCACCGTAAGTTATTATATTTAAGGATTTAAACACATTTTTAATAATCTGTTTTTTATTCTAAAGATCATGGACATCATGACCACCGTAAGTATTAAGACATTAGATAGTGAATTTGTTGATCTTTTTCAAATACTAATTTCCGTAATATTTATCATGGTTAAAGATGGGCATCATCATCATCACCATAAAGGATCAAAAGAATCAAAAGAATCACATGAAGAACATAAGCCTTCATATGAGCATAAACCCCAAACTCCAATTTATGTAGAGCAAAAACCACAGGAAGCACATAAAGTAATAACTGGAATACCTACAACATATAGTCATCTTCATCAACATCAACATCGAGTTCAGTCTTCATCATCTCATACGCCAAGTATTATATCTCCGATAAATAGGGTAACTGCTCCTATAAACACAATTTCAACGATTCCAAATAAAATAGATTACTTTGAAGCGCCAGAAAAATTACCTCCTTTAGGTGATGATTATGAGGAGGTTGGAAATATGTTTGACACATTTTATCGGGCTATAGAAAATGCTTTTAGTGGTAATAAAGAAGATGATCAAGAATCAGTTGATTATGAAAGTAGAGAATATGAAAATGAAGAGAGCGGTTCCGATTACTCAGAAAATGAAAGTGAGGATGAAAATTATAGTGAAGATTATAAAAAGAAGAGACGTAAAAAACGCGATTTGTTGGAGCGGAAAAATGTTTTAAAATCGAAAGCTTCACCCAGAAAGTCATTAATAACCAAAATCACAATCACTAATGAATATGACGATTCAATTCACGATCTAGAAAAATTCAATCAAACGTCATCAGCATTAAAATTGAAGACGAAAAAGGAAAATATTAAACGTAATATTACAAATAATCGATCCGAAAGTAGTGAGGAATATGATGATGATATCATTGAAAGCATTATGAGCTTTCGTGATGACTTTGATTCTTACTCTGATGAATATTATGAGGATTTATCACTTTCTAGTAAGCATACTAATGATACTAAAAAATTGAATGAAATGAAAACGAAAAAGAAAAGTGAAATTAGCATTAAGAAGAAGTATCAGGAAGATGAATCGCCTACAAATTTCATCACAGACAGATTACAAAGCATCTTTTCATACGTTGGTAATATTTTTCCATCGTTTCCATATTTCGACTTTGGAATAAAGGATACAACACGAACAGCATTAAGAAGAAAGACGAGGCAAAGGAAAAAACGCAATAATTATGATGGTGAAACGTATTTAAAAGTAACAGAAACAATAGAGACGACTGAAAAGCCTGAGTCACAGTTTAAACGACCCAAGCGTGAAAACGAAAAATTACCGTGGTACTTTCCAACTTTTCTTTATGCTCATAATGATGCAGGCTCCACTGAACAGCTGTCTAGTTCTACGAAAAAATGGTATTTGCCATGGGATGACTCGAGTAATGAGAAGTATAATAATGTGGAAGTTGAAGATATTACGGAAAGACATGCAATTGAAACAACTACTAAAGAAGGCATGGATGAAACAACCGCTAAAGCAATGCCATATGATTTCTTTGGAATGATATCGCAATTGCTAGCGACAAGAAAAAAGGAATCTAAAAGTATAATAAGTAAACGAATTCGTAAAAAGGGATACAATAACTATCAATTGTGGAGATTATTTCCCATGTCCAAGGATGATGTAAAGTATCTCAATGAGTTTCGCATGTCAACAAATGGAAGGAAAATTCATTGGCTTAAAAATATAAACATTAAAGATTCTACGGATGTTGTTGTTCCACCAAGCTATGTCAATTCTTTTAAAGATTTTTTGTCTGAAGGTGAGATTAAACATAGTATTAAAATACGGAGCATACAACATGCAATAAAGTTTGAAAATCCACGTTTAAATAAACGAGATCAAATTGAATTGGAATTAATTAATGGTCATCCGATTACATGGTATCGATATCATACTTTTAGGGACATACAAATGTATTATGATTATTTGAAAAGGAAATACCCTTCATTTGTTGAATTGATTCAAATAGGATGGTCTTTTAATGGAAAGCCATTGACTATAGTCAAAGTTTCATCAAAGCCAAAACAAACATTATATGATACGAAAAAACCTGCAATTTTTATTCTTTCTGGTACTTCACCACACATATGGCTTCCTATAGCTTGCTCGACATACATTTTAAATAGCCTCGTAACGAATATAGCCAATGATGATAGCTTTGGACGAATGATAAGAAAGTTTGATTGGTATATTCTAAGCTTATTGAATCCCGATGGATATGATTATTCTATGACCGTTGATCGTTTATGGCAAAAAAGTAGGTCTCGCCAGTTTTTATCTACCGATGAGACTTTTATATCATCAGCGTAAGTTTCAAAATCAAATTATATTATTTTATAAGCAAGCATAATTTAAGGAACAAAATTTATTTCACAGATTAAATTGGTTTAGAAGTTCAAATGTAAATCAAACGGAAAAAGTTTGTTATGGTGTAGACATGACAAAAAATTTTGATTCCAATTGGAAAGAAGATGAAAGTACTGAGAAAAGTAAATGTTCAGATTTTTATAAGGGTCCTCATGCATCATCTGAGCCAGAAATTAAATTGTTATCAAATTTTTTATTAAAACATAACAAAAGCATTAAACTCTTCATGAACTTGGATGGCTATGGTCAGCAAATATTGTTTCCATCTTCTAAACTTAACCGAAGTTTCATGGATGAACTAAACGATATGGCAAGGTCGGGTTTACGAAATGTAAAAATGCATCGAGATGGTGAAAGGAAATATGGAATCAACACTAATTATTCTGGTATGTCATCAGGAACTGTAGAAAGCTTTGCAATGAACAAAGCAAAAATCAAATATACCTATCGAATTGAATCAATGGATAATACACAATACAGCATTTTTGTTCCTGCAACATCAATTGAACAAAATGCAAACGAGATTCTTGATATTATTAAGGGAATGGTGAAGCACTTGGAAAATGAATAAAAGCTCTTCTCTACTTTTGCAGCTAAACACTAAATTGTGTTGATTTAAAATATTAAAATTATTATTAAAAGGTTTTAAAATTCACTCTTAAAGAAGGAGAATATTATGACAACATGTACATATATTTTCAGATATAAATTACTGAGTTTCAGTGACGTTTTTGAGCAAGCAGAAAGCAAAGTAAGGAAGCATTTTATTTAATATTACGAGTCATTAAAAACTTTTATCGTCTATATTTTAACAAACTCTTTGCGATAAAGCAGTGAGATGATTTACAAACATTTTGTTTCAAGTCATAGCAAATTATTTTAAGTATGCTTATGTATTGAGTGAATTTCATCATCCATGTCTTTAGTATGCAAATGCACGCAAGTTTGTAAAACGTTTTAGAAGCAATTATATGCAAATCATTAACCTCAAGAGCAAAAACAGGATGCTTTAGAATGTTTTATGTAATTAAGCAAAAAATCATCCTTTAGAGTATTTTTTTCTCTTTTATTTATTATACGACTCGATGAAGAAAATCTCCGCATAAACATACTTGACTAGATTTTAACTTTCATCTGCTAAAAGTTCTACCGCAATTATGTCGATGACTTTTCTACTATTACGTGACTTCCATACATAATGACATCAAACATCTAAAGAAGCATATTATGGTAAAATAAAAGATATATTGAGGAATCATTTAAGTTACAAATTTAATTTGTGAAAACAATGTTGGTGGCTATTTTTCGAGATCATTATTTAGTTCTTACTCTCCACGTGATATAAATTGGATAATTTAATATTCTCATAGAGTTATTTAGTCAGGATATGTGTGGCAAATGATTTGATTTCTCACGTCATGCAATAAACCATGAATCATTTATTTCGCAGAAAATATTGTTTTTTTTCGTTTCTCCTTAATAAGTAAATTAATTAAAAGTCTTCTCTTCATTTCGAATTAAACCAATATTGACTTTTAGTTTTTGTGCCTTTATTCCAATTATCATTAAGAGGTTTATTTTCTTTATTTTTTTTTATAAATTAATAAGAAATATAATAAGATTTTAGCATCTTTTTCCAGGCGTAGCTAGGAGGGTCTTGTCCCCCTATTAAACGTTTTGAATCGCAGCAAGAGCACGGCCTAAAACGCCTAAGAGGAGGACAATACCCTCCTGACTATGCGTCTGTCTTTTTCTAATCAGTTTTTGAGCAAGTCATTACAATGTAGTTTTAATGAAGTGTAAACTTCCCACCGATAAAATAAGAAGCTGACTACCATTATCTTCTGGTATGACTATTTAATTTCAAGTGTGACTGAATCTCCTTCACTTACTTCTTAAAATGATGTTGAATAACTTTCTAAGGATGTTCATTTTCAACACATTTTTTATATTCCTTGTGTGAGCAAATAAGTTAGAGTCATCTAGATTATAAAAGGATCTTTTAGAGTTTCAACTTGAAAAAGCTTTTGTACAGTTTCAAGATGCATGAAATAAAAGAATAATGTGGAACTCAATAAAACCAAATGTGATGTGTATTTAAGCAACTGAAAAATATAAATATTTCTGCTACATTAATAGACAATGAAAAAAATGAAAAATGTGTTTTTCTTTTTTAAATAAAGCTCTAATATACATACGTACAAACATATTATGTACTCATGAGATTCTAAATTTCTTTAAACATTCAAGATTGCATCACGATATTAAATTTTCATGAAATTCAAATAGTATCATAAATTATATTGAGGTTATGAATTTTTTTTATTAGAATATATAACAGAATTTACTCATAAATTGAACACCTTTTTGGATAGGGATTCTTTATTAAAAATTTTTCGATAAACTTTTCAAATTTCATTTTAGTACAGATTTTAAAAACTACAAAAAAACTCACTAAGCCACACGCTGAATAATTAATAATTTAATAAATAACAGATTAAAGATAAAGATAGAAAAAAAAAATATTAAAACTTTTAAACAATGAATAATTGATATTTTGGGAACTGTTTGTAAAATTAATATACTCTGTTTTATTTACCAACAATTTTATCCTAACCGACAATAGATCAAAATTTTCCGGAACTAAAAATTTACAAATGTTTGACCTTTTGAAATCAACCTACTTTAAATTGGCTTAATTAACGTAATATTTTGTTTGAAATCACAATTTCCCGTATGAATTTAGATTGGCTATATGAGATGAAGCAAAGCGTAGTACGAGACAGAAAAAAATATCATTTGAATAATCCCTTTATATTCAATAAACAGACTGATATGGCGAAAATCTTTATTCTTTTATCTCATAGGACTCAACAAAGCATAAAATGAATCTTCTTTGATTTTTATTGCCCATGTAACGCAAAGTAACAACGTGGGATTGAGATATCCTTTTCTCAACTCGGAAATGAATAAATTGTTAGAGAAAATGAAAGAAACCTTGGAAAATTGAAATTTATGTACAGAAAAAAAAGGATCGAAATGAATATAAATCGGGGCAATAAAATTTTTTGTAATGCTGTATTTTTGCTGTTTTTTGAATATCGTTAAATAAAACTGAATGCCATAGAAAAAGCACTGATTTATAAAATCTAAAAGCATTTATATGGAAACCATATACGTCAGGTTCAAATTACATTTAAATGCAAAATGTGAGTAGGGGATGTTGTATTTACAAATTTCAAAATTATGGTCAATTTTCACATATTATCATACATTTTATAAAGCGTTTATTGTTTTCTTATTTTAGGAAGATTTTTCAGAACCTTAATATACGTTTAGAGATTAGCATTAGGTTTAAAGAATGATCTTTAGAGAATAAAAAAACATAACACATGAATGCTATATTGTAAATCAAAAACAAGATTGATTTATTTTTAATGTATTTTTCATGACACTGTATTCACTGAATAGCAACAGATTGACACCCGACATCAAATAATTTGGAAGCAAATGATAATTTGTTTTTGGTTTTTTTCATACAGCATAGTGATAAGCAAATATATTTAAATTTATGTAAGCTAAGCAAATTGACGCATAAACACCGTTGCATATGTTATGTAATATGATTATGATGGATACTTACAAATTTTAATGAACCTGGTATGTTTATTTCGTTTGGGTCAATCCTCATAATTTGTTGTTATACTGATCAATTTACATCCTGCAAGCTAAACCTTAACTTATAATATTTTTGTAATTTTATATAAGAAGTCGTTTCCTTAAAGAACTTATTTTCAAACTGACTAGAGATTTCAGGACCGCAAATATCCAGATTCAATGCATAAGAGCTTCAAACTGCTTCAAACATTCAAATGCAAGTGCTTAAGTTAAGTTAAACTTATCAAAAAAAAATAGACTACCCTGTTTTTTCGTTATACGCTAATACTAGTTACTAAGCTTTTGAACTTAAAAAATTTTATATTCTTTGCTAAGCTGCTAGTGACCAAAAAAAAATCACGTAAAAAGCTTTAATAATTAAAATATTAGGGGTCGTTCACTTATTACGTTCGCATTTTAAGGGGGGGGGGAGGTGTCATATGGGGGGGGGGGGGGGGGGGTGTCAACATCTCACGACAGAAAAAATTCAAAAAATTTAAAACCGTTAAAAAAATTTTAACTTAATTTTGTTCATTTAAGTATGTTTCGGGGACAATTTATTACTTATTTTGAAACCAAACAAAAGAGAATAAAATTTCTGATCTTTAAAAATACATTTGAAGATATATCAATGAAAACTGACAAAGTTATGGCAAAATTCCCAAAAATTATTCGTGAGTGACGCTTAGTTAAAGTGATTTTCCGACATAACTGCTTAACTTTAGGAAGTGAGTTGTATTTCAAAAGATAGAAATTTTTGTTTCCTACAAGATAAAATAACTTTGAAATTTGTCACTATTGTGGTTTCGGAGATATTTAAGATTTTAAAGCATCACTCACGATAATTTTTTTTCGTCAGGGCCCATTACTAAATGATTTTTACAAAGCCAATATAATTGAGTTTTGAGGCTTTCGGTAATAACAAGGATAGTAATCAATGTTGACAATGGACAAACGGAGTTAAATTAAGTTCCTGCAATCATTTAACCGAAAAAATCAACTGCTCCTAAGTCGAAATTACCTTGAACGTATGGTTCGTTCACTTTAGTTTAAACTTAGCATACACAGAAAAAGTTATGGCATGCTGCATTCGGTAAGTGATTTATTTGTGCTAAATGAAAGTTTTTCTTTAATATAGACGAAGAAAATTTTAATGTATGGGCCAAGGAATCAAATGAGCTGATTAAAATACAACTTACTGAAGAATGTTCACAAGAACCTCTAAATTATTGACGAAATAAAGAAATTTATCTTGAAAATAAAGGTCTTAAAATTAAGTATTGAAGTTGCCTTCAAGTATAATAAATTTTCGTTGATTTATTTCAAATGAAAAATGATTTGTTGATTCTTCTCTGTTAACAAATTTTCTACGTCTTCAAAAAAAAATTCCCTTTAATTAAATTGTCATGAATGAGTAATCAGCTAAAAGAGAAATAAATTTTATAAATGTGAAAATGTGAAAATTAACATGAATTAAGATAAATATGTTGACCATTTTCATAGCTTTTTGGGTAAATGTATGACAAAAATTTTATTTTGGCAAAACAAAAAGAGAGAAAAAAAAATATAATTTATTTTAAGAAAGATTAAAGAAGAATAACTCGATGCATAAATTTAAAGAATCGCCATAATGTGTGCACTCCCTTAGTATCAGCAAGCTTTGAGGAGAAATTTAATTTCCGGTGTTAATGGAATGATATGCTATGCGCAAAAATAGGAAATCATAGTGTTTTAGGTTAATTAAAAGTACCAAAATGAAGGGTTGAATCCCTCTGTCAAATCTTCCGTATCTAAAATTATCAGTTTAATTAATTCAGCATGTTCGTAACAATGAGTTGTTTTTAACGTTATCATTAAGTCTGAATCACAATAAATTACACGAGTTGGCATATTGTTAGGAGGACATTTGAAAAAGCTGATAAAGCTTGAGATGGATATTATATTTTTTTTCGCCTTAATGTCGCAGTAATTGAATCGTACAGTGTAATTAATCAGATATCAACTGTCAAAATGTTTTGATTATAACAAAGAAAAACATACAAATTCATACGTATGAAAAGGATATTAATTTTATTTTTTATATCCCTTTTTCCCATGCAAACAGATTATTGTCGTAAAAATCAAATAAATAAATAACCTGAAGAATGTTTATGTCAAATCAGTTAGAGTTCCAAATATCAACTGCAAATATTGAAGCGCTCCTTGGATGTTTTTCTTTTTATTGGAAAATGATTCAATGTTTTTAAGTTTTCCATTGACTGTTGTGAAAGCATTAAGGAAAATATTCAAATGTTCATCGAAACATTTTTTTTATTTGAAAGTTTTCATCATTTCATATGAATACAGGAGAACGAAAATGGTCATTACTGTAAACTTGAAAAGAGTTTTGGAACCCAAAAACATCATTATTTTTACTTATTAAGACTTTAGTATACTTAAAAAGAAGGTTAAAAGTACCAGTTATGTACAAATAGTCACAGTAATATTTCTTATAGGTAGTATTGATCTAATATTATTTGGTTATTTAAAGATCAACTTTTGCGAAAGAAAAAGAAAAGAAAATAAATATCTTCATATTTATGCATGTCTATGTTACCCCTATAAATCCTATAAATTTTGACATAATCATTGATGTGTAAAGATTATTATTTTTTGACTTTTTTCTTTTCCATTTCTATCTGTTTATAAACATTTCATATTTATGGATATTTCTTTTGTAGCTCATACAAATTGATGATTAAGTAAATGGAACGAAAATCAAAAATTTGCTTACAAAAATTCTTTTTCAAGAAGATAATTTACGATAAAAATACACAACTTAGCACTTTGCGTATAAAAGACATCCCTAATGTCATTTTTTGTGTTATTTCTATTAAACTTTTTATTATCATCATCATTTTATCATTGAAAATGCGTGCATAGATTTCCATTCAGTTTTAAAGCTTGTATGACACTATTTCTTAAAAATACATTTTATAAAGACTTTAATTCCATGTGAAATTATCAATTTAAACTTGCTTCATGTTTCAAAGAGAGCATGAAATGTCATTAAAAATGTTCGCTCATGAGGAAAAAGAACTTTATGGTCACTTTCAAAAGAAAAAAAAAATAAAGACTTATTTTTATTCCAATTTGCATTATATTTTCTTCAGGAGCATAAAATTAATATTTCTTCTTACGTTAACAAAAAGTAATTCTTCTATAATGAACATTGAAATATATGCAAAATTAATTTATTAAAGACACTTCATTTTCATGTAGTCATAGGAAAAAGTCTAAATACCTTAGCAAGGACTGACTAAACACATGCCACGTTTTCAATTCAGACCATACAGTAACCTCAGTTTTTCTGTTTACGCACCTTTATCTACAAGTTTTTAAGTTCCTATAAATTCTTAATTTCTTGCGACTATTGATTTGAATCATAATGGGATAATCTTACAATTATCTTAAAAATAAAGCTCCAGCAGCAATGCAAAAGCTCGAAAAAAAAAGAAAATCATAAACTTTAAAACTAGTCGGAAAAAATACGGAAGATAATATTTCAGACAGCAATATATATTCATCGACGGAAAGAACAAATGCGAACATATTTACTTTGAGTATGTGCTGAATAAGCAGAAATGAAAAATGCATTCAAGTATCGTTTTTCAATATTTTTATCTACAATAACTGAATGTAATTGTTTAATGAATATTACTAGTACTTGCTGACTTATGAGAAAAAAAAATCAGTTTGATAATAGCAACTGCATCTATAAGTCATATTAATTATGATTTTTCTGTTAATAATTTTAAATTTATTTTCTTCGTCACTTTCGAGTAATGGTTTGCCGCCTCCTTGTTCAAGCGAAATTTACTGCTATGGAGAACTAATTGATACTGTTATGAAGATGAGAATCTATCATGATAGCAAAACGTTTGTGGATCTAAGACTGAAAAATCCACCTAATGAAACAATTATAGCTTTTCATGATTTTATGGAAATATCGAATAATACGCCAACGATAGATCAAGTAAAAGTGTGGCTAGAAAACCATTTCAATCCTGCTGGAAGTGAATTGACTCCATATATTCCTGAAGATTTCAACGAAAAGCCAACTTTTCTTGAAGGAATCACAGATAAAAAGTTTAAAAAATTTGCTTCTGATTTAAATCGAATTTGGATCAATCTATGTCGCAAAATCATAGACGAAGTTAAGGTAAAACTCCTCTCATAATAGTTTTAAAACTTAATGGCATATACTCTACTTGTATATGCACTAATGCTTAAACAGAATATTTGAGTTAACTTTTACAGGACCATCCAGAGTTATCATCGATTATTTATGTGCCAGGTCGTTTTATAATAGCTGGAGGGCGCTTTCACGAGTTTTATTACTGGGATTCTTACTGGATTATTAGAGGACTTTTAGTGTGTGAAATGTTTCAAACTGTTCGTAGCATGATTCACAATTTTCTCACAATCATTGAGCAATATGGTTTCATTCCAAACGGTGGCAGAATTTATTATCTTGCCAGATCCCAACCTCCATTGCTATCAGGTATTTTTAATTTCCCACATTGAACATTCTTTTTCATTTACTTGGTCATTAAACTGTTATTTATTGATGAGTTTATTTATATGTTTAGGAATGATGAAATCTTATATCGATCGTACTCATGATTACGAGTTTGCAATTAGTTCTGTTGATTTGTTAGAAAAAGAGTTCAATTATTTCATAACAAAGAAAACTGTAATTGTTAAGGGACATCGATTAGCTCGTTATATTGATGAATCATCAGGTCCACGACCAGAATCCTATAGGGAAGACTCATCAATAGGAAATGAATTCGATACGGATGAAGAACGAGAAAATTTCTATTCAGAAATAAAAGCGGCAGGAGAATCCGGTATGGATTTTTCATCTAGATGGTTCATTAATAAAAATGGGGAAAACATTGGAACTCTAAAGGATTTAAAAACTCGCCATATTATTCCTGTTGAACTAAATGCTATCCTGTATTGGAATGCAAGAATTATATCAGAAATTTTCGGATATGCGAAAAACACAGTCAAACAAAAGGAATATGAAATGAAAGCAAATGAAATATTAAAAGCTGTCAATGAAGTATTATGGAATGAAGAACTAGGAATTTGGACGGATTATGATTTAATCAATAACAAGTCTCGACCGTATTTCAGTCCAACAAATTTTGCACCATTATGGACAAAATGTTTTGACGCCACAAAAAGCCTTGTTATTGCTGATAAAATTGTAGCATACATAAAAAATTTACGGCTTGATGATTATCCAGGTAATTTAAACATTCATAATTTATGCTTTTGTGCGTTCATCTCGATTTTTAATTGTCATTTTAGGGGGAACACCTAACTCTTTATATTCTACTGGCGAACAATGGGACTGGCGTAAGCTTTAAAAAAAATATTAATTAAAATGCTGATTAATGATCAGATTATTTTTTAAGCAAATTCATGGGCCCCAATGCAACACATGATAATATTAGGGCTTGACAATTTAGAGGATTCACGAACATCATCTTTAGCAATAACATGGGCTGAAAGATGGATTCAATCAAATTTCATTGCTTTTGAGAAAACTGGGAATATGTATGAAAAATACATTGCAACAGAACTAGGAGGTTTTGGAGGAGGTATTGATTTTTATAAGCTTGATTCTAAATGAACACTTAAATTTGCTCAAATATAATTTATCTAGGCGGAGAGTATGAAGTACAAACAGGTTTTGGATGGTCCAATGGTGTAATTTTGGATTTACTTGACAAATATGGACAAAATGTGAAATCTCCAGGTTGGGAAATGAATTTAGATCACTAAAAGCATTAGTTCCAATCATTTTCATTCATTAAACTCGAAAACTTGTGTCTTAAAACCCTTTTTTTTACCCATCATTATTATTATTTTCAATAGGATCTTATGCTTCACAAATTCTAATCGACATCAAACTTTATTTTGTTATATTAGTAATTAAGCAGATTGTTTAAATAAATTGTATTAGTTCGGATAGCTTTGAAGGAAAACTAAGATATTCATTAATGTAAGAGCTGCTGTGGTAAAAATTGTAATTAAATTAAACTATTAAAAAAGGGATATGAACAGAAATTTACGAAAAACTTTAAATGTGTAGATTTTGTTATTTGATCACAACTTGAAAGCCCTTATCAAAACTGATTGCCTTGATGGAATAAATTTCTAGAACTTACACACTCAATAAGGTTTTCAAATGTAACTTTATTGAATTCGCAAACACGAGCCATAAATGTTTTTGACATTCAAAGATAATTTCACTTTTTTCATATCGATACCTTTTTATAAATTGAAGGCATTGATAAGTATTCCCCCCTTTATTAATAACTATATGGAATATTTCTTACACATATTTTATGAAAAACTCAGTTTCTGGTGTCATTAAATATCAATTTTAAAGATTTTATCAATGTTGTAAGTAACTTGTGTACTTAAGGTAAAATAAGATGATATTGCTGAGGGTCTACGATTTTAAAAATCCACTTTACTGTATATTTACTTTTTTATCAAATAGTGTCACAATAGCTAATGCCTAATATCAAATTTAAAATGAGATGCAGTCTGAAGCAATTTGGTTCTTGCGTTCAATGATCACAATTATGAATGTTATGAAGATGAAAATCTTCAACTCAAATATAAAGAACGTATTGCTTTATTGATAACCTGGTAGTGCTACTTGGCAATCGTCTACATATTCGTTAACAATTTCCGAGTGAAGAGAATTTTTTAAATTCGAGGTACCCATTGTATTGAAAACTTATCATACAGCATATACACATGTATAAGAAAAGTTCTTTAGTATGAAAAGAATATGACAAAATGTTATTCCTACATTTAAATTCACATCAAAATATGTACACAAAACGATTTAAAATATATTCTGCCGATTTATTGAATGAAAGGTTATTGAAATGTGCAAGATTATGTTTGAAGTATTGCTGTTTATTATCAAACCATCGATTGAATGTTGGGTTAACAAATTCAAACTTTGCTATTGAAATGAATACGATTGATTGGCACGTTTCAATGTAAAAGTATGTGCTACAGATAAACCGATGATTGAGGTAAATCAAATAAATATAATGTAAACGAAAATTTTGTCTGGTTTGTTACTCACGCATAACTGTACAGGCATTATGTATTCAAATCATAATAATTATTACAATAAATATGAATATCATGTATTCTATTCTTACACTTCTGCCTCATTACATTTACTGATTCCAGTGTATTTAGTCGAGTGAACAAGATCAGATGTCAAGCAATAAGTTTTGTCATTTTTTTTTACTTTTATCTCTGATAAAGATTGCTCAGTCTGGCACACCTAAGTATGTTAAATATTTAATTTAATATAATTTTTTTTTTCTATTTATCTATTTAATGATTAGGTATGTTTACCCTCCTACTTCACCAACTCGTCATCAACTTATTTCCGGTAAATTAATTAATTATTTGTAAAAGTCTTATTCTTTATACTTCTGTTATTTATTAGGTATTGGAGTTCCTTTGAATTTACAACATGAAAGTATTACCTATGGTTGGACTATGAAGTGTGTAAATTTATTTTTAAAGATTGACAAGGTGTCGTTCACTTATGACGTATATTTTGAGGTCAAAAATTTCCAGATAAAGTTTGAAAAGGGAGTCTCTGTCAAAATTAAACAGTTTTTATCTACGCTGTTTTTGACAGAATATTCTTTGTTCGTTCTCTTTTTTGTGTTCCTTTATTTTTAAACATTTTCATTTTGTTTTGATTAAGTTTAAATAATTTTTTAACAATCGTCATAAATGAATGATGACCCACATAATATTCTTAAATAATAATTTTTAATCTCCATAACTTTATTTATTTTCCGGATGGAAACTTTAGAGCACAGTATTTTTTGGTAAGGTTTTGAGCCTAATTGCTACATTTTTCACGTGCATTAATGTTAATCATTTTCGTCATAAACTTTTACAACATGCTTTATTTTTAGCCTGAAACAATAAATCAATTACATTTCCAATTCTTTCCTGATGTTTGGGTTGCAAACTACACAAAAGACTTTCTTTTCGACACAGTTTGGCAAAGATTTCCAAATGGTAGAAAAAGGTATGCCTTAATTAATTATTTGATAATCTTCTATAGGAATCGAATACAGGATGATTGTTTCTTTTGAAGGCGAGAGGTTTTATACGATCCATTAACTCAACAACATTATGAAAAATATGAAGGTATATTTAAGGAAATATCAAACATGCCTTTGCATGACATCGAAACTTCTGAGGACGATGAATTTGATGATCAATTTGAGGAGGATATAATCGACAAGAAAATAATGATGTTAACGAACAAATACGTTTCCAACGATGATCCATCAACGAAAGAAGAGTTGGGACCAGACTTATCAACATCGAGATGGTCTATGTATGACGCATTCTCAACAACATTAGAAAAGTGAGAAAGTTTGATGAAACCATCAATCCATCCATGTAACAGACACAAAATTTTCATTTATTTTATTTTATGCAGAAATGGTTTTAATGGCCGTATGTGTTTATTACGTGCTATTTGCGAAGCAACATGGGTTAAATTTAGCAGAAACAACCTTATGGGCGAGCTTTTCCACATATTTTTCACGTAATTTCCAACAATTTTTCTTCTCTTATTTTTATTATCCTTTTTCCGATTATAAAGTAATGCTTTGCTACCAATTTCAGTCCTTCAACAACATCTGAACCAACAAATAGACCATCTGACTACGATTATATCAAAGCCGAAGCAATAGGTCGAGACAAAAAAGGTGATGATGAGACATGTAAAAATGTTTTTTATCAATGCAAGCAATCAATTTTGGACATATTTACCCAGAACTTTGATGAATTACTTCATTTTTTTAATTAAATTTGACTTTTATGCGATCTAATAAATTATTCTAAAATATCATGCTCTTATTTATTTTCTAATGGTTAAAGCTATAAATTGAAGCTTTAGTTCTAAAGGGAGCTAGTTGATATTTGGAACTTTGTGGAGTCTAATCTCGTAACTTATGGTCGAGAAAATATAAAAGACTCAATTCGAACTAGCTGAAATTTTGTTCAACAATTTAAGTCAAAATTGTTGCTAATAATCGAGCCTTGGTAGACAAAAGTATTATCTACTTCGAATCTTTTATTACCAATTGACAAATGAGACCCAACAAACTTACTTGTTCTTTCAGATGCTGCCACCATAAGAAACTTTGTTTTGTCTTCATTCACCGTTCTTAGCTTCTCTTTCGAATTTGTAGTAAGCGTCGGTAACGGATCTTACGTTACGTCCAACATAAATACGTCGTCGGAAAAACCGAGAAGCTGAATTGACTTTGTGAAGATTGTACCATTAATTCCAGCCCAGCTCTCTTGAATACTACTTCAAGCGCGATGTTAAAAAGCTTAGTTGACAAGTATTAGTAAGAAAGTATTATTATAAAATTCAAATTTCATTATGATAAAATTATAGATATTATGGACATTGTTATTATGGCACAGAAAGAAATTTTACGTTTTTAACTTAAGTATTTTTTGACTAATTTCCTGTTTGTGGTGATGCATCATTGTTGAAATTATACTTTTTTATATTCACACCGTTTTCACGTGTGAATCTATTGATTTTGTTCGGATTGAAAAATCAGTTTTTCGCATTTTGTGAGGAAATGGAGCAAAATTGGTTATAAAATGTCCCAGAAGAAAAGTTTTTTGCCTGAAATTTTACATCATTTTCAAAAAACAGATTTCAAATTGGTTGCGGCATTGCTGAGAAAATCGCAAAATACACTTTCTGTAAGCAAACAAGAAAGCAAGTAAGTTAATCAGCAAGTAATTTTAATAACGAGACATCGTAGAGACTTCTAGTTTTTTACATTTGATCCGTACTGATCTATAGAAGAGCTGTATTGTTTTTGGGCAAGGTAGGAACAGCCGTTGCTTCAGAAAAAGCAAAAAACTTTCCTTTCTTACGAATTTTTCAAAACAAAAGTTTCTTTAAATATATGCTGAGCAAAGCTCAGCTGACTCGCTAGCTTTATACCTTCAAACTTATGCTGAGCGAAGCTCAATTGACTTATTAAGCTTTATACCTTCATACTTATACTGTGTAAATCTTGGTCAATCCATAAGACTTTTGATGGAACGATGTGAATATAATCCGCATTGGGTTTCTACCCGATACACTAGTTTGAATTGAAGAACTTTTGATGCATGGCGAGTTCTGAGATAAACTAGTGTATCGGGTAGAAACAAAATGCGGATATATTAACACCGTACCATCAAAAGTCTTATGGATAGACCAAGATTTGCTCAGCATAAGATTGAAGGGTGGGCGTGAAGTACGGCCGAGACCCATATCGACACAGTTCAAAAGTTAAACCTAATTTATGTTATAATGATGTCAGCTACAAAAACACTTAGTTTGAATTTTGTCACCATCGGGAACACTATAAACCAGTATAGCTGATTTTGGTCCAAATCTCGGCCATACTTCACACTTATTTGAACCACATTTTCTCGTAAATGTTAAAATATTATTAAAAAGAAATTAATTCTGCATTATGACGCTATTTTGTCAAGTGTTTTAAGATAAAGAATTTGTTTTTTGGATTCCACAGTGAGAGTATGAACAAAATTCAGATGGGAAATTTTAGATTTCGATTTTTTTTAACTATGCATTACAAAAAGTAATATTGGTATGTGATTTATGTCAGCATTATGTCAATTCAAATAAAACATCCAAAAAATTTTTTTGACCAAAGTACACCATAGAAAATCAATTTTCAATTTTGGACTAGGGGCGACCCTAGTCAAAATCAATTTTGTCACTTTTTTCTTCGAGGGTTTATCCAAATGGATTGAAACTTTGCATAAATATTCAAGTGCTTAAAACAAATACAAATAAAACATTTTAAAATTTATTTGAGCAAAGAACCAAGAAGGAAATACATTTTCAATTTTGGACTAGGGGCGACCCTAGTCAAAATCAATTTTGTAACTTTTTTCTTCGAGGGTTTATCCAAATGGATTAAAACTTTGCATAAATATTCTAGTGCTAAAAACAAATACAAATAAAACAACCCAAATTTTTTTTGAGCAAAGAACCAAGTAGGAAATACATTTTCAATTTTGGACTAGGGGCGACCCTAGTCAAAATCAATTTTGTCACTTTTTTCTTCGAGGGTTTATCCAAATGGATTGAAACTTTGCATAAATATTCAAGTGCTTAAAACAAATACAAATAAAACATTTTAAAATTTATTTGAGCAAAGAACCAAGAAGGAAATACATTTTCAATTTTGGACTAGGGGCGACCCTAGTCAAAATCAATTTTGTAACTTTTTTCTTCGAGGGTTTATCCAAATGGATTAAAACTTTGCATAAATATTCTAGTGCTAAAAACAAATACAAATAAAACAACCCAAATTTTTTTTGAGCAAAGAACCAAGTAGGAAATACATTTTCAATTTTGGACTAGGGGCGACCCTAGTCAAAATCAATTTTGTCACTTTTTTCTTCGAGGGTTTATCCAAATGAATTGAAACTTTGCATAAAAGTGCTAAAAACAAATACAAATAAAACATCTTGCAATTTTTTTGAGCAAAGAACCAAGTAGGAAATACATTTTCAATTTTGGACTAGGGGCGACCCTAGTCAAAATCAATTTTGTCACTTTTTTCTTCGAGGGTTTATCCAAATGAATTGAAACTTTGCATAAAAGTGCTAAAAACAAATACAAATAAAACATCTTAAAATTTTTTTGAGCAAAGAACCAAGTAGGAAATACATTTTCAATTTTGGACTAGGGGCGACCCTAGTCAAAATCAATTTTGTAACTTTTTTCTTCGAGGGTTTATCCAAATGGATTAAAACTTTGCATAAATATTCTAGTGCTAAAAACAAATACAAATAAAACAACCCAAATTTTTTTTGAGCAAAGAACCAAGTAGGAAATACATTTTCAATTTTGGACTAGGGGCGACCCTAGTCAAAATCAATTTTGTCACTTTTTTCTTCGAGGGTTTATCCAAATGAATTAAAACTTTGCATAAAAGTGCTAAAAACAAATACAAATAAAACATCTTGCAATTTTTTTGAGCAAAGAACCAAGTAGGAAATACATTTTCAATTTTGGACTAGGGGCGACCCTAGTCAAAATCAATTTTGTCACTTTTTTCTTCGAGGGTTTATCCAAATGAATTGAAACTTTGCATAAAAGTGCTAAAAACAAATACAAATAAAACATCTTAAAATTTTTTTGAGCAAAGAACCAAGTAGGAAATACATTTTCAATTTTGGACTAGGGGCGACCCTAGTCAAAATCAATTTTGTAACTTTTTTCTTCGAGGGTTTATCCAAATGGATTAAAACTTTGCATAAATATTCTAGTGGTAAAAACAAATACAAATAAAACAACCCAAATTTTTTTTGAGCAAAGAACCAAGTAGGAAATACATTTTCAATTTTGGACTAGGGGCGACCCTAGTCAAAATCAATTTTGTCACTTTTTTCTTCGAGGGTTTATCCAAATGAATTGAAACTTTGCATAAAAGTGCTAAAAACAAATACAAATAAAACATCTTGCAATTTTTTTGAGCAAAGAACCAAGTAGGAAATACATTTTCAATTTTGGACTAGGGGCGACCCTAGTCAAAATCAATTTTGTCACTTTTTTCTTCGAGGGTTTATCCAAATGGATTGAAACTTGCATTATTATTCAAGTGCTTAAAACAAATACAAATAAATCATCCTAAATTTTTTGAGCAAAAAATCAAGTAGGAAATACATTTTCAATTTTGGACTAGGGGCGACCCTAGTCAAAATCAATTTTGTCTTTTTTTCTTCGAGGGTTTATCCAAATGGATTGAAACTTGCATAAATATTCAAGTGCTGAAAACAAATACAAATAAAACATCCTAAAGTTTTTTTGAGCAAAGAACCAAGTAGGAAATACATTTTCAATTTTGGACTAGGGGCGACCCTAGTCAAAATCAATTTTGTCACTTTTTTCTTCGAGGGTTTATCCAAATGGATTGAAACTGTACATAAATATTCTAGTGCTAAAAACAAATACAAATAAAACATCCCAAATTTTTTTTGAGCAAAGAACCAAGTAGGAAATACATTTTCAATTTTGAACTAGGGGCGACCCTAGTCAAAATCAATTTTGTCACTTTTTTCTTCGAAGGTTTATCCAAATGGATTGAAACTTGCATGATTATTCAAGTGTTTAAAACAAATACAAATAAAACATCCTAAACTTTTTTTGAGCAAAGAACCAAGTAGGAAATACATTTTCAATTTTGGACTAGGGGCGACCCTAGTCAAAATCAATTTTGTCACTTTTTTCTTCGAGGGTTTATCCAAATGGATTGAAACTTGCATAAATATTCAAGTGTTTAAAACAAATACAAATAAAACATCTTAAAATTTTTTGAGAGAAGAACCAAGTAGGAAATACATTTTCAATTTTGGACTAGGGGCGACCCTAGTCAAAATCAATTTTGTCACTTTTTTCTTCGAGGGTTTATCCAAATGGATTGAAACTTGCATTAATATTCAAGTAGTTAAAACAAATATAAATAAAACATTATAAAAATTTTTGAGCAAAGAACCAAGTAGGAAATACATTTTCAATTTTGGACTAGGGGCGACCCTAGTCAAAATCAATTTTGTCACTTTTTTCTTCGAGGGTTTATCCAAATGGATTGAAACTTGCATAAATATTCAAGTGTTTAAAACAAATACAAATAAAACATCTTAAAATTTTTTGAGAGAAGAACCAAGTAGGAAATACATTTTCAATTTTGGACTAGGGGCGACCCTAGTCAAAATCAATTTTGTCATTTTTTCTTCGAGGGTTTATCCAAATGGATTGAAACTTGCATAAATATTCAAGTGCTGAAAACAAATACAAATAAAACATCCTAAAGTTTTTTTGAGCAAAGAA